ACAAAAATTAAGAATTGAAAAGCTGCTTCACTGAATTTTCTTCCATTCTCTACCTTTCCTTCGGTAGTCCGTAAAACCTTGCATTGCAGTCGATCGTCGTGTTATGACCTTCCCCTTTTTGTCTATGTATCTTATAACTAAGTGATTACATAAATAAATAAATAAGTGAATAGATAAACAAATTCGCGAAGCGGGCTATCGGCACTGTACATGAAGTGCCATGGGATGTAGGTGACCGTATGACACACAGGGACCTAAATATTCGATTCTTACGAAATATTCTATGAGAAAACTAATTGGTAATTACCAGTAGTCCTTACTATATCAGTAGATAACATACATAACAATGTATGTATGTAGTAATTTATGATAATGTATGATAACATATAATTAAATGCAATTCAATAGTATTCAGTTAGTATTTTCACAAGTGTATCTGTCAATAAAGAAACACTTCGCAAGTTGCTCAGGAATTTATCAAGCGGTCTCTGATGGAATCCAGTGCTACGGTATTTAATCCTTCAAAAAAGAAGTGCATTCATGTATTTTTACTGACAAGCCGCTTATTCGACTTGATGATCGGAAAACACTGACAGCAGCGATCAGAAAAGATTTTTGTGATTTCCATCAGTGGGACCAGAGGTTTTTGGTCTCTGATTATTTGGAAAATGGTAGAAACTCTTATGGATTTGTTTACTCCACTGCCTTATTCATTCTAGACTGAGGATGTGGTCCCAAGGGTCCAAGAAAAAAGTATCGGCACCAAAACTGGCCTGCGTGCGAGAAGCTTCACCTTTAGGGCGGGTAGCCAATACATACTTGAGGCTAACTATAAACTTCCTGGGGAGACGAGCAGTAGGAACGGTTTTGCCGCACGCGGCTGTCGCAGACCATTCGTTCCCATTATTACAGCTCAGGCGTTCTTCATACAGCTCATTCGATATGCGATCATTATTTCAAGCATAATTCTACTGTTAGTTCTTTTGTTTCTTATTTCTTACTTGTGCCGCAATCTGCCACATTCCTTCGCGCGCGGCGTCACTCTCCCCGCGACGCGACAGTGTCGTTCCTACTGCCCCACACTCAACTTCCTGTTACTAAATCACAAACTAAATCCAGGTGTCGTATACCAAAATCAGCTGACACTGTTTATCCGGTATTTGTTCGAATCTAAAAGAATTGATCGTTTGTATGGGTAGCTGTACTTGTTTATTTGATTACTCAACAATGAAATGTGCTTCATTTTAGCGTGTGCTTTATGCAAATATGCTAAACCTATGAACTTTTATAATTAGTAATCAATATTGTTTATTTTTTACATCAGTAAACATAATTCAAAGTACAGTGTGTGATAGCTGGATGTAGATAGAAGTATTCATTTATATATTCATTCGTAAGGAACGGCAGGTTAACATGTAGAACTATGTACTTGTAAGTACAGTAACTTTGTACAGTAACTTTTTCAAAGGAGTATGGTAACTCATAGAATAGAACTTTCTCTTCTTTCGTCGTTTCTTACTTTTCATCCACCTTTCTTGGGGTTCGTCCTCCTGTTCGATCCTAAGGTCTCGTTGGTTCAGTCTCATTGGTATTTGAACCCTATTGATCGATGCTATTCATTGATCAGCAAATTAGTTATTGATCGCTCTTGTTTACCACTGTTCCTCGCTGGCCAAGTCTCTTGAATGGAATTGGACGTTCTCAGATGATCGGGTTTTTACCAAAGGTTTTCCCAGGAAGTTCAGAAAGGCTGCTTCTCCAGATGTCCCATACTGCTGGGAGACGGGCAGTAGGAACTTATTTGTGTAGACGATTCGCCGCACGCGACTGTCGCGAACTTTGTTTCGCCGTTATTACGGCTCTAGCGTTCTTCATACAGCTCGATCGCTATGCGATTATTACTTATGGCATGATTCTACTGTTAGTTCTTTTGTTCCTGTATTTCTTACTTGCTGCTGCATTCTGCTGCATTTCTCCGCGCGCGGCGTCTCTTGCCGCGACGCGTCGACTTCGTTCCTACTGCACTACACCCTATACTGCTCGCAGCGGTCAAAGATATTCAGAAGAAGTTCAAAGAACCACCCTACAATCCAGTTCCATCGTTTCCCCATTTTTATTCTGAGTTGCCTGTCAATATTCTGATGTGACGGGGCGAGGAGCAATCAAGTTTTATGTTTTTCCGTCTTAATCTCTGGGAAACTCTGTCCATTAGTTTCTTTTCTACAAGCTTTAGCTGATGGTCGAAAGCAATTGACGGCTGTTCCATTCCAGTCCAACCCCCCTTTGTGCCCCGCTTGTCATCGTCGCTTGTTTTACGCTTTCAAGATTTTTTCTAACATCAGCAAGTAGTTGTTGACCATTCTCGCGATCTTTTTAGTCACATTACCGGTTGGCGAATGATTTTTTTCTACTGCAGTAATACGTTGAAGTGATATAGTAGCGTTCCCTGAATTTTCAGGTTTTCTAAAATTGGGTAGCGCAACCGCCTCTAGACTTTGGGTTTTGGCATTTGACACAAGTGGTCCGGATGCATATCGATTGCCTTTCGGGCTCTCAATGAGGTTTTCGCGGGCGTTTACGGTTAGAGCGGGAATAATTTGAATTCAAATACTGTCGAGGCTCTTCCAAAGCGTGGNCCTTATAGGATATAACGATTGTTGGATGAACTATTTTCCTCTGTTGATGCTCTCAGGTCCTTACTTGGGCCCATTAAACTAGCGACAAGCTTACGGTAGCGGTGTTTCTTACTACGGTATGCGAAATGTTGTGATGACCCAACGAAATGGGTTTGTTTTCAAGTAAAATGGAACTTGTAAAAGGTGTTTTTCATCGATGTACTTGGTGTATTCTCGGACTCGTCGCCTTGGGTTACACTTTTTGAGCGAGGGGGACCAATTTTTAGTTGAGGCCATGCTCATGGACTGAGTTGATTGCGTCTGTCATCGCCCTGTCGCAGTTGTATCGACCACCGTTACATTCTTAGAATGTTTTTCCATTAAGTTACTCGATGACCGTGACTTCCGCTCATCACTTTTGCTCACACATTCGCCCTATTCACGTATCACAGTCCGTAAAAGAACGACGGTTTCTCATTTCACGGCGGCCGTTCATTCACTTTTCTTTTTATTTTTCATTTTTTGCCCCATAGTAGGCATGTCTTTCATAAATTAAATGAATCATCATTTCACTTCAAGAATTTGTTCTCCTCTCAAAATCTTTCCCCATTTTAGTCGACGCCTCATCTGCTGGATCGGGAAATCTAGAAATTATGATCAACGGAGGTCGAGTACCATGCCGGGTACGGGAGATCGTCAGTCGGCAATACAAAGCCGTGTTTACACCCACTCAGGTGAGGCAAAGTGGATTGGAGCCATTTTGAGAATACGTCGTCCCCGATTAATTAGATTCGGGAACCGTATGGGAATGGGAACTTTACAAAGTGTTCCATCCCTCAGCTAAACAGTAAGTTACTGAACCTGCTGAGCATTTTTTCCCATTCAGAGCGTCACCCATACCATAGAGATGCGATTCAATGGAGAAGAAGTGGCGGGTAGCCCATGGCATATACCAGTTGAAGATCGACCAGAAAGAAGGCACGAATCTAATCGGTACGTCTACTTTACTTGTTACTTACTGCTTTAATTAACAGAAATTCAAGTAATCGCAAGGTCTTCAATGAAACTTGTTCAGACTTGTACAGTAGCGTAGGGTTTTCGTCTTTGTCTCTAGGATTAAGCCATGTACTCTACACTTCCTGGTATTGTAAGTATCGTTTGAGACTGATCTCGGTGCAGAACTACAGATTTTCTCCGTTTGCTAAGAAGTAATCGTCTATGGTTCACTAACTAGTAATCGCTAGAGAAGCTTAGATGGATTTGACCTAGTATAGTATAGTAAAACTTCGATCTTTGTCCATGGGTGTTGGAATAAGCCATGTACTTCACTTTTTCTGAACAGTAATTACCCCTGTACAGCTAATTTTTGTAGGGGGATTTTCTGAGTTCTTCAAGAAGTAATTGTTGCACGGCTCATTAACTAGTAGTTGATAGAAAAGTGTTTACTTGTAGTACCACTTCATACTACTCCGAACTATCTGGAGCTGGATTAGTGAGAGCACCAGTGAACAAGATTGCCTCGTTTGAAATCAATGGTGAAGGCTTGGAACTCAGCGATATCCAGGCCAAAATTTATGGTAAGTTTAACTTACTCTAAGCATAACTAGTTTGTTTATCATATTTTCTCAACATCATTACCATCGGAGTAATATTGGAAGTAAACTTGTATTTTGTCGTTGAAAGGTTTTTAACGAAATCATTTTTAGCGGAATACAAATGTATTGCTGGTATGTAGCAGGAAATGTGATAAAATATAGCGCCGGGCTATTTGGAAGCGATAGGAGCTGGACCACACCCGGCAAAAGTGTTCAGTGATTATTACAGTACCAGTAGCATTATCTGAAACCGGGATCATTAAAATACCACCCTCTCTTCTTCCGGCTGGCTCGTTACGAGAATCACCCTCGTTTTTATCGATTTTATCGATTACTGTTTAGGGGCGCATGAAAACTTGTCCGAAGCAATCCCATAACAATTCAATATGGTTTCATATGCAATAGTTTCTAACACCCTTTTTTGATGGCACTGTCTCGGTCTCATCTTTTCAGATAACTAGTTTGTCACAGTGAACAATTACAGGAATTTCCGTCATCAATAGAATCTTCAGAGTAATGCTGAATTCGTCCAATGGTCTAGAATGTTCCGTTTTTCTTTTCAGGACCTGATCAAAGAGAATTTCCAGTTCGTATAATACCACGTGGAAATGGACGATTTACGGCCGAATATCGTATTGAACAGGTGAGAAATGGTCGTTTTTTTTAGGGTAAAATATCTGCAAAGCTGAACTCTGACCACCCTGGGCCCGGGAAGTGGAAATGTTCAAAGGTCAGACGGTCCCCTCCCACCCCCCATACACGCCCGCCCCTGCTATTATTATCGAACTGAATGTTCAGTTCCAAAAGTGTTGTTTGCATGTGTTGAATACAAAACACGACAACAATGGATTGGTTATGGAACATGCGCCAAAATGATATGTGTGGTTATCGATTGATTGCAAAGTAACAGTGGAACACCACCAGAAACGATAGTAAGGACCCATTCAAGCGGCGGAAATGGTAGCAATTTGTCCGGGAGCGCTTAAGTGTGAAACGGTTTAGCTATGGAGCGTTACAGATGTTTTTTAAACGATCGCCCATAGTGCAAACTCAGTTCGTCGGGGCGATTTTGTTGATTCCAACAGTGAGCGACCGAAAAAAGAACTTGATAACTGGTTACTGGTACAGTGAGCTGATTACTGAGCTCCGATCGGCCGTTTCCACATTGCTCGATCGGTTATGGTTGTTATTGGCACAGTTACTGATTGTGATTGGGGGTTTGCAGTAATCAAGTAAGGTCAGATAAGCACAAAGCACAGTATTACCAGGAAACAGAACCCTTCTTGGCCCCCAGGGGCTGGTATGACTAAATTAAAAACGATTGCTTACAGCAGTACATTCTTTGTACTTGAGCTATGCGAAGAATTTCGGGAATGCTCCTCATTATGGCCATGATTGTCGATTATTAGCAAAAACAAGACGAAACCAAAATAGTATCACGTTATGATAGTTAAGAATTACTGTTTCAGGTCGGTGAACATCTTCTAACGGTATGGATAGCTGGTCGTAAAGTGGATGGTAGCCCGTTGTCGGTAGCCGGCTACTCAGCAGATCGAGTGAGGCTCGAGCCGCTTGGGGGCGGTGCAGTCGGGCATCCTGTACAGTTTGTCGGTGAGTCGTCGTCATCATCATCGTCGTGGTGGTGGTGGTGGTGGTCGTCCGTCGTCGCTCACCCCGTCCTCGTCCTCCCCACACCCTATACCCATCATCATCATACAGCCACCAGCAGCAGCCCACCGGGGGCCGCAGCATTCATTTGCCTCATACCCCCCACTCTACGCTCATCAATCCCTCTCCACGAACCTCCCCGTACCTTACATTATTCACGGACGGACCGCACACAAGCACCCACACACACACACACGTACACACACGCACTCACTCACTACTACTATCGCCCATTTGATCAGATCAGTTGACATTTCGACGGTGGCCGCTGTGCCTCAACTCCCATCTATCCATCCTTCACCACCGTTGTCTTCCCTCCACGCCCGCCACCGTCATCCTCCTCGACCACACCTCCCCACTCATCCAAGCCTGCTCCAGTCTAAACAGTAATGAGTGTGCCGCCGACTGATGGTGGTGATGGTCGTCCTACAACAGACACTGAAACCCAAGGGGTCCAAGGGGAGCGACGAAGAAAATTCAACTATTATTCACAATTATATGTTATTCCTGCAGTTGATGCCGTTGATGCTGGTAAAGGACAACTTGAAATATCTGTCAATCAAGGACGTGTACCGAATAATGTACAAATGCAAGGCGCAGGAAGGTATAGAACCTTTTTACTAGTGGTGTGTTGTCTTACTGTAGTATTACTCTCAAGTAAAGTACTGTCAATGTTAATAATGTATTGAATTTACCATTCTTATTGACAGTTATTCATTTAGATGTCTTGTGACATTCATTCCACAACATCCAGGCACATATGTGATAGATGTAACGTTCAACGGGGAACAAGTGCATGGTTTGTTTCTTTACTGTTCAAGTGTCGATAACTAGTAATTGATCTAGCTATCACAGCGGCAGTTACTGTTGAATCCTCCAGTAACAAACCGTATAGCTAGTTTGTTTACAATTATTTTAAGTTTTCTTGAAGATAACCAGTACACAAGGGTGTTTTGAATTCTCGAAATGTTTGTACTTTATCTTTATGTTTACTTAACTTTCAGTGCAAACATTTTTTTCCTGACCGTTTTCAGGTTGCCCGATCAAAGTTGAAATTTTACCGAAGCAGGTTGGAGAAGTTGTACATGCAAATCTTACGCCCACAGCTGTTTCGACGGCAATCTCAGCGGGTAGGTTTCCCTTGAAGTACTACACAGTAATTGATTCGTTTTGTTTTGATCTCTGTACTACTATGCTCAATTACTTTGGATTTTGATATGAAGGAATTGATTTTACTGGTTACTGGTGGGGTTTTGTGTTGGGTGCGGCTGTACGAGTTCGATGGGCGATGATTTGTCTGGGGGAATACTTTGAGAGCGGGGGGTACCGTCGTCGTTCTGTTACTGCATGACTGAACTGTTTGGTATGATGGTGGTTACTGTAGGATGATGATGCTGATGGCCGAAATTGAATGGTTCGACAGAGGGACGTTTAAAAACGACCATTCCAAACGAGTCCCAGTGAATGAATGTAACTTATTTTGTAACTTTTGATGAGTTACTGCCACCACCACCGTATCGTTACCATCTGGTTCATCATAAGTTCATGTCGTCGTCGTCGTCGTCCTCACATAGCTATCATCATGCTCATTCCACTCACACGCACACACCTTTTACGTGTGTGCGGCCGACTGTACACATGAAAGTAGATTAGGATAATGCGCACTGTCGCACTCCATAACTAGTTATCAAGTGGGGTGGTGCTCGGTTGCCCCCCGGTGGGTGGGTGTCTGCAGCATTGATGTGCACGGATGACAGAGGATAAATATTTGTTAGTAAACACAATAGCACAGGCCTCCTGTTGTACTGGTTTACTGCACATGTACAGGTGATCTAATTGGTAACCCATGGCCCTACTCGTATATCCCCTTGAATGGAACTGAATGCTAGGAAGTCGGTCAGTGACACGGAGTCCGGTCATCGCATGTTTCATTCACCGAGGATTGAATCCCATCACGATGGACAAGTCCNCACGTCCTCCCCAGAGTGTATTTGTTGATGTCAGTCCCATCCGGTAGGTGGGGACCCTGGCCTGAATGTGAGACGAAGCCCTTCGGGAAGCTATCAAAGGTGTCAAAAGTTCAAGAGTATCCAGAGTTCAGACTTAACTACGATTTCAAGTGAAAGTGAAATGCATGGCTTACTCCTAAGGGGTCAGTCTGGACTCAACATCCCCACTGCGAGATAAGGTTAGACTATTGAAAAAGAAGAAAAAGATCAAGTTATAAGGGATTAGCGGGTGGAATAAGAGTTACTAGAAGGTAACCATTTTGACAACTGGATCGGGTACTAGTAATTTACCTGAATGTTACCTGCATGCAGCAAATTTACCGTAGCACCGCTGCACTAGTAATTGAATTCGGAATTTTTGTTGGTCTGTGCCCACTTTGTGCAAGTCCTACCAGTTAATTAAATCGTTTGAAGAGTTTGCTTTCGCTGAAAGGTATACATTAATTGAATTTTGTAATTCTTCCATATTCTGGAAGTCTGTAGGGTAATTGTGCGTTTGGACGATGGGTTCAATGTGCGGTACCAAGCAAGAAGGGTTTTGGCCGTGCGTATGGTACAGGTGATCTGGTATCGGGCCCTATATGGCTAAACCCACGTAACCCTTCTTGTTTTTACATACGGATTACTAGTTACAAGGTCTCTGCCGCCTATGATGCATTTTTTTTCCTGGTTTATGGCTATTATCATGCTTGTATGAATAAGTTACACTTTCACTACAAGTACTCTTCCGTGGAATGAATTATTGCAATAATTAGATCTGCTTTCATTTTTGAAATGAGTAACGAACTAGTTTTCAGTGAGACAATTAATGCAAATATTAGAGAAAGATCAATCAATTTCCAGGTGGATCCAGTATCGCAGGTGCTTTCCGTCAGTCGCGGACGCCCACTTCACCGGGACTTCTTCACCATAGTCGTCAGCGATCAGCTGAAACCAATCCTCGTAGTCCGACACTACTGCAAGAGGCGCGTGGCAGAGCGGAGAAACCATGGATGCAGGTTGGCTATCTTTTTTAAAAACTTAATTTTAAATTATCGAGGTTGTACGGCCTGACACCCCTTTTGTTATGTGTTATTGTCTGCGCTTTCATGCTCGCATGGGATCAATAGAGTGGCTGTGGGCGGGCACTCCAACGGNTGAAACCAATCCTCGTAGTCCGACACTACTGCAAGAGGCGCGTGGCAGAGCGGAGAAACCATGGATGCAGGTTGGCTATCTTTTTTAAAACTTAATTTAAAATTATTCAGGTTATATGGCTTGACACCCTTTTGTTGTGGGTTTTTTTCTGCGCTTTCATTCTCGCATGGGATCAATAAAATGGTTGTGGGCGGACATTCCAATGGAGGCGGGCGATCCTGCGCTTTTCTTACTGCGATAACACGTCATATTGACCTTTCTACAGTTTAAGCATCTTCTCGATATGTTGGCGCAAAGTGTGATTTCAGACAAAATAAGCTTTTGAGTTCAGGTAGAGACTACATACTATTGTACAGTTTATAATCATAGTTACTGTATATTACTAGTAAATTCATCGTAAGCTTCGAAAATTATAGTGGTATTAATGGTAATCAGTGAAAGCCTATCTACGTCTTTGGAAGCTTTTCAAGAGTTAGCGGTCCGGAAGACCTCTCTCACTTCATATGTCCTGCCCATGTTACAAGTCACGCCCCTTAGACTGATGCTAGTGAAATGGTATTTTAGTTTTTTGCTCTGTTATATTGCCATTAACAAGCATGTTGACTAATAGGCTCAGATGATTCTCAAATATCGTAAAATGTCAAGAAATTTCTAAATAGGCTGGGCTAGCTTTAGGAAAATGCCTGCTTCCGTTTTCATGTTCTCACAGGGGTAAAGAGGAGGGAACGGGTCAGCTCTAAGTGATTTAATATTATAGTCTTTCAGGTAGAATGGACCCGTAGATGAGTTACTGTATATGTACTGGTTTAGATTACTTACAGGTTTCAGAATAATACTTGTAATAGAATTAATTATTGTTCAGACTTATGCTCCTACTTCGTCTCGACTCAGCTCCTCACTGTCGCCAAACCGGCAACAGTGGTCAGCCGCCAGTGCATACGAGAGGACATACACCACAGATAGGACGCTTTCCCCAAGTGATCCAACCAGGTACATTGACAATACAAAAGTTTTAAGTAGTAAACGATGAGTCTCATCTATTTTTTTCAGATCAAAACACTTTGTTGACTCAACAATTCCCCATCGTAGCCCTTCGCCACCACCGCCGCCGAAGAGGTCAGTTGTACGCTGCTATTACTGCTTTGAAATCATTATTGAATGTATACGCCTTATTTTTTAGTACCTTTGAACATACTAGTTACAATGGCCGTACACCTTCACCATCTGGAGTACGGTAAGTCGCTCATCGTGCGCCAATTTGGTGGCTGATCAAAATGTAAACGGATCGGTTTCAGGTCGAGAGAATTCGCTGAACGCCAAATGGATACACCTTCGCCTACTCGATATGAACGTAAATATCCGATTCCATACACGAGTACTACCACAACGACAAGCACAAGCGGAGTTCGACAAGTCGAGAAAAGTTACAGGTAATTTTACAACTAATAAATCCTACTGGTTTATGGGTGTTGATTAGTTTTCTGGAAATGGAGTTGAATGGCTGCTTTCATGGTCCAGGATTCGGCCCTTGAGCGAGCGACCGGGAGACCATTCGTCCGGCGGTATCGACCAAGATTCAGTTGTAAACAAGGGGCAAGCACCGCCCCGATGGCTCACTCGCTCGCTCGCGCGCTCGCGGGCCGAATCGCGGACTATGAAAGCAGCCGATAATTGCAAATCATCGATTTTGTGGAAGGCTAAGCCTTCGAGACTGTTTTCATCAAACCAATGGTATCACTGGTCTAGATTAAGTGCTCTAATCTGAAATAGGCCTTTCAGGTCGAGTTCACCCGTTAGTCGAGACGAGATCCGATCACGTACCAGTGACCGCGTCGTGTCGCCCTACAGGTAAGTATGAACGGTTCTTCTCAGACTGGTCTGGGCGGAAGTTCCTCTTTTGATTCTTTCTCTATTTTCAAACACGGTGACCCTCGAATTCCAGCAGTACGATTATAATATATGGTAAAATGTGTGTTAATCTGCTACACAGTCTTTTAACAGCCATTTTTTGTCTTGCTTTTGGTAGCGAACATACTCGAACGCAGCGAATCGGCAGCCAGCGTTGGCCGCTTTGCTCTTATCCGCTCATGATGCATTATTGAAAAGCCTTTGCTGCGCTGGCAAGCTCTGTTGATGTCTGCGGCTGTTGACAGCTTTGAAAAAATTTTCGAAGAATTTTCTCGTATTGCTTCAACAAGTTTCTGTTAGCCAACAGGCTCATATCACATACAATGCAGGACAAAGTGATTTTTTCGATGATTTCTGATGAAATTCGCATTCACGGGGGTGCCATTAGGTCAGCTCGCGTGCCGCGCAAATTTGCCGCTCATTGCGCGTGCCAATGTTAGCATGTTGATTGGAAAAAAAGCTTGTCGCCCAAACGAGCAGTCAGTTCGCGCGACAGGCGGCCTGAGCTATGGCACCTATTGCGAAATATGCCCGACGGTAATGCTCAGTTGCGATCGATACGCTTGGCAGCGGCTGCTTGTTCGTTTAGTATAAATGCTACCTTGCAGGCTTCAAGTTTAAATTTGTTCGTAATTCAGAAGCACTCCATCGCCATCAACTGGTGAGAGAATACGTCGCGTTGAGCAGCTGGATCCCATAGCAGCTGAAGAGGAACGCGAGCGACGGCGAGCCCAAGCGGAACGTGATCGGATTGCTTCGTCATCGGTTGGATACACAGTAGCCCAGTACGGACAGCCGGGTAGTGTGACAATCGACAGGAGTCATTCACCCGATAGGTATTTTTCATTGTAGTAGTAGTGCTTACTTTACTGATGTTTTACCGTAGCTCTTTAAGGTACTCTACACCACGATCGTATGGTGGTACCTTGGATAAGAAAGAACCCCGTAATGCGGTCAGTCCATCGACATTTGAGAGTAAACAGGTAAGTAAATAGAATACGAAGTGGCTTGATGGAAGAAGAACGTAATGGATGATTCAGAGACCCGAATCGCCCGAATATTCGGCAGTTTATGAGCGTTTCGATCGGAAGCGTGATGAGCCTCCACCAGCTCCTGCTCATGCTCATATTGATCCGTCTAAAACTAGAGCAGCTACATCAAC